GGAACCAAGGAGGTGGAAGTCCAATGGAGCAAGATCAGGACTATAGGAAGGATGTCTTAATACCGCAAATGAAAGTTTTTGCGGAGTACCAACAGTGTGGGCAGGTGTGTGGACATGTTTTGGAATTGTCATACAAGATCACAACGCCCTTAGATAGCAGTCCTCTATATTTAACACAAGTTTTAAGTTTCAGCTCTTCAGTGAGCATCTCAATGTAATGATCACTGTTGATTGTTGAAACCTTTTTCCTGACAATGTTCCAATAGTGGTCCTTGAAAATCCCAGAAAACTGAATGCATCAATTTTCCAGCTGATGGTTGCCTTTTGAACTTCTTCTTGGTCAGTGATTGAGGATGTTTCCATTCCATCCTTTGCCATTTACTCTCAGTCTCATAGTGAAGAATCCATGTCTCATCACCAGTAGCAAATTTTTTTTAAGAAAGCTTTACCTTCCTTCGAGTATCAGTCCAAATTTTGTTTGCAGACATCCAAACACTTCTGTTTATGGTCTTCCGTGAGTTGTTTCAGTACCCAGCTCTCACAAGCCTTTTGAAACCCAAGTCTGTCATGAATTATTCAAATCAGAGCCATGGCTGATTTGAAAATGATTTGCCGCATAATCCACTGTCACTCAACAGAATCATTTCACGTGACGCTCAATGTTATCAGTTGTGTACATGAATGGGCCTTTTAATATAACCAGAGGGAGGTTAATTTTTGACTCAGCCTCATAGGAGGGAATAGTCCATGCAAAAGAGCATTATACTTGATGAAGTGGAGGGTCAGAGAAAAGAGGAAAACCTCCAACAAGATGGATTGACACAGAGGCAGCAGCAGTGGGCGCAGGTGTAACAACAGTTGTGAGGATGGCGTAGGACCAGGCAGGGTTTCATTCTGCTTACATAGGGTTGCTATGAGTCAAAATCAACTTAACGGCACCTAATAACAAATTCATAATTTAAAGCTTTTAAACAGGAAAGCGTTTCAGAGGGGGAATGGTAAAGAAGGAACCTCTAAGTAGGAAGGTCTCAGGAACACTCTGCAGACAGAATAGTCTCTGAGCAGAAACATACCATCTGTCCGCTGAGCAGCATACACACACGGCCCACCCACCTCCTGTCTGTTGGCAGTGCCCTGTGTCACCTCGCTTGCCCGTCTAGGGATAATGTCTTCTGACTGTTGAAGGGTCTAGTTTCCTAGTTCAGAGGTCAGGCTGAGGCAAATTCAGAGAGACAAGCTCTGGGAAAATGAGATGAATGAAGCGGAAAGAACCTGCAGGGTAGGGGTCAGTGGGGGCTCCCTGCCCAGAAGAGAGGCCCGGAGGTGGGGAGCAAGGACTCCTGGGCCAGTGGCAGAATTAAGAGACCTAACTGAGAGGGAGGGGAGAGGCAAAGGTCAGTGCCAGGAGGTTCCAGAGGGCTGGGATTTCTGGAGTGTATCCTTGTCTTTTCTACTCAACTCCAATTAGCCAGAGCACTCACCCCAGGTTTCTGTTCTGAGCAGCCCTCTTCCCCTGCTGTCCCTTGATAGGGAGGAGGAAGGGAGAGAGGATCCCCGCTGAGACCTGCAGGGGTGGGGAGCATCCCCTCCCAGGGCTGCATTTTGACCCAGAGCCTGATTCTATAGTTGCCAATAGACCTGGGCATGCGCCACCTTTCCAACTTTTGGCCCCTTTCCCTTCCAAGGACTGTTCCCAGAGCGAGGCAGGACTTCATGTGGCTAAGCAGGCCGGAGGGGTCTAGTGGAATGGCCTCATTTTGAGATGGGAACCCTGGAACTAGAGAGAACATAGCTTCTCAGTGATCACACAGACAGCATACCTGACTTGGTCCAGCTCCTCACAATGGAAGTGGAAAGGGCATCCAGGGCCACTGGGGGGAAACTGAGGAAAAGAGGGGCAAACCGGAAACCTCTACAAGGTACTCCCAAGCTGATTGCCCACCTGTACCTCTCCCCGAGGGACTCTGTCTGTGTGGGTCTCATTAGGTGGGGCTGGAATGTTCACAGGGAACTCTGGCCCTCCACTGGGAAGAGTGACAGGGACCCTCTACTGACTTCATAGAGGGCACTTTGGACAGCTCCAAGCTGTGAGGAGGCAGAAGACCCTTTGAGAAAACACCCACAGTTCCTGGGCTTGGTTGAGGTCCTGCAGCTCCCTCTGCTGGCCACAGAGCTGACCTGTGCTTTTCTTAAGGTGCCTGTGATAGGACCGCCCTGAGCAAAGCTGTCTTCACCCTGCATGGCCTGGTGTTTTCTGGAAGCAGATAGAGCATCAGCCCTTTTGATGGATGCTTGGAGTGTGCCAAGAGAAATTGGCACTTGGACTTTGTCCATCAGTGGTCCTGTGTTCAAATCCCTGCTCTGCCTCTTATAAGCTGCATGAATTTATTAATTGCTGTGAAACAGGGAACAACATCCCCTCCCACAGTGGAAGGGATTCTTTGAAAGAAGGACTTTAGGCACTTGGCCCAGTGCCATAGCCACAGGAGGTACAATGACTGGGTTTCTCCAGGACTCCAAGCCTGGAGCTCCAGCTTGTCTGCTGTGGAGTGCTCCTGAGTCCAGCTCTGATACCCAGCTTGGGGCTTGGTAGTCACTGGGGTGGATGAGGGAGGACTGCATTTGGAGCTAAAGATTCTGAGCCTTTGGCAGAATTAAGAGATATGGCCAAAAGGGATGGAGGTGAAACCATCTCAAGGCAGGCATGAGTTCAAGGGTGCAGATTACAAGCACAGAGAGGAGGGGGGGCTTTGTTGTGGTAAGGACCCAGTATGGGGTTATGGGGGGGTCTTAGGGTTTTCTAGAGAAACAGAACCAATGCGATATAATTATATCATAGAGAGGAGAGGAGTTCTGGTGGGGCCGTGGGTAGGTGTTGGGCTGCTAACCCCAACCAAGATCGGCAGCCGCTCCAAGGGGAAAAGATGAGGCCACCTGCTCCTGCAAATATTTATAGTGTCCAAAACCCCATATACAGTCAGCGTGAGTCTATCTGATTGATGGCTGTAGGTTTGGTTTTTACTTTAAGGGATTTGTTGGGACTTACCAGCTGTGAGGGCTGGCAAGTCCAAAACCTATTTGTCAGGTAGCAGTCTGAAGGTTTCCGCAGACTGGCATCCCAAGATCCGTAGGTCCAGCATGGAGAGAGAGAGTAAGAGAGTTCTGCCAAAATACCATGTGAAAGGAGGTCATACCATCGGGAAGCTCTCCTTTCAACTGATGCATTAATCAGATGATACTATGAAAAGTGGAGTCCTGGTGTGGCAGTGTGGGACAATGCACTGGACCGCAAGGTCGGTTTTAATTGCAAGGTCAGCAGTTCAAATTCACCAGCCGCTTCTCAGAAATCCTATACAGTGTTGCTATGAGTCAGAACCGACTCGACAGCACTTAACAACAATGTTATGCTATGGAGTCCTGGTGTGGTGCTATGAAATAACGCACTGGACCACAAAGTTGGTTTGAACTACAAGGGTGACAATTCAAACTCACCAGCCACTCCTTGGAAACCCTATACAGGGTCTCTATGAGTTGAAACCAACTCTATAGCACTTAACAACAACATAGACATTAATTACATTGTATTCTGGAACAACAGCTAGTCTAGGATTGGCCAAACCACCAATAGTCATAGCCAGCCAAGTTGACACATGAAATCAATTATCACAGAGGACTTGTCAAAGGTTTCACAGAGGAGGTGGTGTTTGACCAGGACCCTGAACAAGACTAGGAATTTGAGTTGAGGAAATAGCATAAAGCCATGCGATTGTGACAAGGGATGGTGTTTTGAGGACACAGATTCATGCCAGGAGGTGAGGTGAAAAGCTATGAAGGAAATGGGGACAGGGGGTCAAATTCAGGCATCTGATCCCTTGTTCCCCAGCCTGTATCTCAGGAGGGGAACTTAAAGTTCAGGCTGGAAGACAGATCATGGAGAGGGGAGGCTGGAGCAGCTCTCACCTAGACTAGAAGGGGGCCCCAGGCCTTCCTGAAGATGGAAGAGAAGGGGAAGGAACCAACAGCTGAAGAGATGGGGGCCGCTGCAGGGGACTGACTCATCCTCTGCCATTCAGCCTGTGGGCACAGAAGTTGGGCCTGCTACCACCACACTCCGGCCCGAGGAGAGAGTCAGCGGGAGCACAGTGCTGACCTCCATGAATCAGAAGGGCAGCAGCGGACAGCCACTCTTGTTGCCTCACCTGGGCACCCTGGGCTCTGGCTTCTTATAGCTTAGACCATTGGAGCAGAGCTGCCTCCTCACTTCTCCTGAGCTCTCCCACGCCCAGGCAGGTGATATATTGACTCAACAAGTCATCTGTCACTGGCTGTCACCTCCAGTCCCATCTCCATCCTGATTTGTCTTTCTTGATCTCACCGCCGCCCCCGCCTTAAGTAACCATTCTCATTGGAAATTGAGGCTGAAGATGAAAATCAGACAGTCCAAAATGGTCAAGCAGACCCATGCCATCCCCAGGGGAGAGCGTCCTGCAGAAACTTGGGACAGGCAGGTCAGAGGTGTGGTGTCAAGAAACGGGCAGATTGAGAGCCACCAGCCATGGTCCCACCTACCCACCCTGTACCCTTGGGAAGAGTTACACCTGGGTCACCTGGGAGGAAGAGGCGCCCCAGATGAAGAGGAGAGCAGAGAGCCCCTCTGTGGCTCACGAAGCAGGTACCATCACAGCAAATCTACTTTAGGAATATTGGAGCAGGAAGTAGTAAACAGGAACAGGGGAAGGGTGTCCAGTAGATAAGAGGCCATGTGGGCCCCGTCACTGACAGGCAGGCCCCCACCTCACTGGACCTTGCCACACTAGATGTTCGCTTGGGCCTTTCCTGCCCAATGAGTCTATGACTTGGGTCTGTACATGCCTACCATAACTTCCAGGGGAGCAGGCAGGGTTCCCAAAGCTCATCCTGGCCCCAGGCTTCCAGGGGGATTGTTCTCGCTGACTGAATCTGTTCTCTCTTCTCATTGTTTTTCTTCTTTCTTCCTCCAGGGAGAGCGGGGCATGCCGGGGATGCCGGGCAGACACAGAGTGAAGGTACCTGCCCCATCCCTGAGCAGCCCCTCCCTCCACACCCACCCCCATGTCCCCCAAGCTCTCATGGCCTGCTGGGAAGAAGGTGCACATCTCCTCCCCAGGGCCTTTCTCTGCCGCATGGCCCCTCAAACCCTCCTGATGTGTTCGGGGCCCTGCCTGGGTTGTAAAAACCCTGTTCACGTGGCCCCAGCTTTAGCTGCAGTCTGGAGACTCATGTGGGGAATGGGGACACCCCAAAATCATCTCTACTGAGGATCTACTAACTGGGGGCTTTGGACACGACCACGTCCTAATACATGGTCTTAGGCTGATACGCAAGTGGAGCCCACTCCACGTGGTCAGAAGAGAGTATAGCTCCACTCACACATTCGGGAGTCTCTTGTATTTGGTGAAACCAGCCCCTTATTTTGAATAGCCTACTCATCCAGCCCTCCCTGTGACTCTCCCCTCTCCTCCCCTCTCCTCCTTCTTTCATTTCTACCCCAAGGACACCTCCCTTATCCCACCCATGGACCCTCCAATCCATGCCCCCAAGTGGGAGCCGAGCAGGTGGGCAAGAAACCCAGAGAAGCCAGAAGCTCACCTCTGCACTGTGAGCAGCTGAGCCCTGGGTGGTTTAGGGGGCAAGCAGAGGAGTGGAGGGAGTTTCCACAGTCTGGCTGGCATTCTCGCCTTGCTTTCCCTGACCACAGAAACCCTTCTGTCTGCCAGGGCACACCTGGGATTGCTGTGGCTGGGATGAAGGTCAGTTGACCATTGTAATGTAGCAGCATCTCAGAGGCAGCCTGGGAGGGGAGGGAGGGGATGGGAGACACAAAGCTGGGCTGCATGCCTCAGTGAGAGGACAGACTGGATCAGAAAACACTGTTCTTAGAGCAACACTGATGCTGAAGGTACCTCCTTGAACATAAGTAAATGCTTACGTCTTGCAAATAAGCAGCAAAATTACCAGTCTCAGTGAGAGTTCACCAGCCTGCCATGGAGATGTGGAGTTTAGAACTCAGTGGCTACCTGCTTCCACAACTCCAGAGAGGAGAGCAGGTTTGCTTTTCCTGAACTCCTCCCTCACGATCACCTGGCAGCTGGGTAGGGACACCCCAGAAGCACAATTGACAAATCCACTCACAGGAGAAAACTATGTCCACTCCACATGCCCACCCAGTCTCTCCCACCACCTGGAACCTCTCACACACCCCACGCTCCACCCCAAGGGAAGAATTAGGCCCTCTGCCCAGCAAAGGCAGCAGCCCGGGATTCATCACTCAGCCATTCACTTTGATTCATTCAATAAATTTGCCTTGACTGACTGCCAAGCGCTGTACTGGGACTTGGAGAGAAGCGAAGTTGGATCAGCCTGGTCCCAACCTCCAGGAAGAGGCTGTTGTTAGGAAGGAAAGATGAGCAACGATGACATTCTGTTCCAGACCTAGTGTCAGTCTTTTTGGTTAGATGAGGGGCATCTGGAAGGCACACGCCCCTGATAAATATGAAACCCTTTAAGGGTCAGCAGCCCAAGAGGGGCGAGTGCTGATGCTTCATTTTCCCAGAGTGCTTTGCCTTTGCTTATCCCCTCTCTCTCGTCTCCTTCCTCTTCTCCTCTTGCTTATTCTTTTTTAAAATAATGCTTTATTCAATTTTGAACGTTTACACAACAAATTAGATTCCCATTTGACAATTTCTCCACAAATTGATCAATGACATTAGTCAGCATTCTTTTGTAATATTTCACATTCTCTTTAATTGTATTCTGTTTGTTACATTTTTAGTACTCTAAGTTTCTTGGCCTTCTTAGCTTCTCAGTTGTGCTTAAGATTAAATGTGGGACCTTTTGGATTCATAAACATGATTTTATAGTGGAGCACCAATCTAATGGGTAGCTTTTGTTTTGTGTGCCACTCTGTTTCTGCTAAAAGGGATCTCAGGGGGTTAGTTTTGGTTCAAGGTTTAAAGAGTATCTCAGGACAATAGTCTCTAGGAGTCCTTTGGTGTCTGGTGGTCCAGTTAGTTAGTCTGGGATTATCTAAGAACTTGAGTTTTACTCTACATTTTCCTCCCATTCTATCTGGGATCACCTATTGTGACCCAGGTCAGATTGGTCAGTGGCGGTAGTGGGGCACCATCTAGTTCTTCTGGTCTCAGTGTAGTCAAGCTTGTGGCTCATGAAAGCTATCAGCCTTGTAGACATGTTTCTTCTCTGAGATTTTGGTTTCCTGTTGAGTAGAGACCAAGAGTTGTATCTTAGTTGGCTACTCGTGTACTTTTAAGACCCCAGACACTGCTTACCTCACTAGGATGCAGAGCATGAACCTTGTGAGCTATACTATGTTAATTAGCTGAGTTGCTCCATGAGACTATGGTCCTAAGCTTTCAAACCTAGAAAACAATCTCAGAAAGTATTTGGTCATGTCTGAGAAGTAACTGGCTGTGTCTTCATTAAATACAAGGAAGCTTCAAGAGTTCATGGAAAAATTCCAGTTATCTTTTCATTACATTTTTACCATGAACTTTCTGAAGCCCCTTATATGATCCTGCATACACACATATATAGATATATGCACATAAATATTTCTTTCTGTTCTCCCATATGTTCACACCTGTACCTACCAATATATATGGAGTCCTGGTGCGGCACTATGTGCTAATGCGCTGGATTGCAAGGTTGGTTTGAACTGCAGGGTTGGCAGTTGAAGCTCACCAGCTGCTCCTCAGAAACCCTATACAGAGTCGCTATGGGTCAGAACCAACTCAATGACACTTAACAAGAACAACAAATATATATATATATATATATACAAACATATAACCACCACCATATATATATATGTGTGTGTGTGTGTGTGTGTGTGTGTGTATGTATGTGTATATATATATATGTATGTGTGTGTGTATATATATATATATATGTATGTGTGTTCCATGGCGTCAGTTCCAACTCATAGCGACCCTGTATAGGGTTTCTGAGGCTGTAAATCTTTACTGGAGCAGAAAGCCTCATCTTTCTCCTGTGGAACAGCTGGTAGTTTCGAACTGCTGACTTTGCAATTCACAGCCCAATTCATAACCAGTACGCTACCAAAGCTCCATATACATATGTCAATTCTACTCATTATTTTTCTTCTTTACCTGATTCTTTTTTTTTTTTTCTTTTTCAATTCATGTAGGGCGAGCCAGGAACCCCAGGAGCCAAGGTACTGTTGCTCAGGGAATGTTCTGGGCTGCGTGAGGTAAAGAATGTGGGCTGGAGGTGGGAGAGCCTTGCTGCCATTTTGCTCTTAGTGTCCCTGAGGCCGGCCTGGGGCTGGGGGCCTGACTGAGCAGAGAGAGAGCCTCTAGGGAGGGGTCAGGAAATGCCTCCCCCACTTCCTCGGATCCTGGCCTGGGCGTTTCATTCCTATATCATCCGGATCAGTTTGCAGCAAGCAGTAACTATTGTCTCCTGCCTCTGCAGGGGCCTCTTTCTCTCTCTTCTAGAAACTAAGAAAAGGTGTCCCTGGTCAAATAAACTTGAGAAGTGCCACATCAAAAATACCACACAGGCTTCTTTACAGCAGCCCTGCTCAGAGCCTGCGATACGATAATGTGCATCGGGAGGCTCTTAAAAAGAAATCTTTGTACAGCATTTCTAAAACTTTTTTGACCAGGACATCCTTTTTCAAAAAGGAGCATCTACAAAACCAACTTCACTTTAGAACGCTGGTCTATGGCCACTGTTCTCACTCACACCAACCAAACCCCAGCCTCTTACCACTGCCTTACTCTTCTTGCCTCAAAGGGAGATCCAGGAGCAACAGGAAAGCTGGGGGCCCCAGGTTCCCCGGGAACTAGGGGGCAGGGGCTAGGATATTGTGTACTTGCCTGTGTGCCTCCCTCTGCTGGTCCCTGACTCCCAGACCCCAGCACCCTCAGATCATGTTATTCCATACAGAGAGCTTGGAGGACTGTTGCCTAACACCCCCTGGTGGTGGCTAACCTAAGAATACAAATTTAAGTCTTCCTGACAGAAGAATGAGCTGCAAGAGACCTGGGTTCTAGACCTGAGCTTGCTAACTCCAAAAGGGATTTTCTCTCAGCGGCTGCATTTGTACAGTGAGGGTGGGGCTCAAGTATCTCTGGGGGACTCTGACTGACATCATGGGAAGGAAAACGAGAGACCACTAGTAATGGAAGAAGCAGGCTAGAAAAGCAAACTTGTCCAGCTGATCTCCCACAGGACAAGTCTGTTAAGGATTTTCTTCTTCCCTTGTGGCAGAGAGGACGTGGGCAGGAGAGACAGGGGACCTGGTGACACAATGGTTAAGTGCTCAGCTGCTAACCCAACAGTTGGCAGTTTGGGCCCACTAGCAGTTCCGTGGAGGAAAAAAACCTGCTGATTTCTTGGAGTTGACCATGATGACGTGAATAGAATTAAGCTTGGGGGAGAAAAGCTCACAGAACCTTCATTTGCTGATGGGCCACAAATCAAAATGAAGAGAAACAGCTGTAAACATCCATTGAAAATCGGAACATGGAATGTACGAAGTATGAATCTGGGAAAATTGGAAATTGTCAAAAATGAA